CGACCATTCTGTTTACTTACAAACTGCTGGACAACGAATGTTTTCTCATCGGAGATAACTAAATTCGGCAGTTCACCACTTTCGGCCAAGCGAAGCACTTCTTAGCTCTTTTGAGTCTATTTTCTTTCCGTTGCGGTATAAGTTTTTGCACGTTTTGGAATTTCACTGGTTTTACCTCGAGCTCATTTTTCAATATTTGCCGAATGTAATATTGCGATATGTTCAGCTCACGAGCCATTATCGGTCACTGCGACGCGGGTTTCGATCAAGTCGCATCTTTATTTTTCGAATCATTTCTGCTAATGTTGCTGTTTTCTTCCGTCCACTTCCTTGACGTCGGGCTATGCTACCAGTACCACGGTAACGAGTGATGGTACGAGACATAAAAGATTTATTCACAATTAAATGCTGGAGTACTTTAACGATAGCCACTTGTGGTTTTCCAGCCAAATATAATAAAATCATACTATCACCTTTGAATTCCATCATGAATCATGAACATCATGAACTTTTAAACAATATAATGAGCTGTCACTGGAATAATTTTAAGAGCTGTCGGACAAGTGGCTTAGAAATGACAGTAGTCTGAAGTTGGTTTCAGTTTTTTTTTTTTTCATTTCAACCTGTATTTTAAAGGCACTTTAAAATTCCCTTCGACATCTCTAATCCCTTGTCAAATAGGTATGCTGATGCTATTCATTTACAGTTTAATCCAGTGTTTTTTTTTCACCGGCTGCTGTTATTGTTAAGCTAAAAGTTATTTGGTAATTTATTTTAAATTTAATTGAGCATTATTTTTCAATTCAACAACGGCGACGGACGGACGGAAGAGAGGGAGAACTTCAATGCGTATCCGTATCATGTGGTTTTCCAGTCGTGGATAGGTTAATTCCAACAATTGGTGTAGATTTCAACGTTCGAGGAGTGCTTCCGATTGGGAATGGGATCCAGTTGGAACATACATGAACAAGGGAGGTGGCTTTTGTAGCGCGGTAATTGCTGATGAAGTTAGTTATTGGTGCTGTTGTTGGTGTTCTATTTTGTGTTTGTGTGTGTTTTGGTTACTGCCAGAGGTTGGTTTTAGTTTAGAATGTGTTTATTTGGAAGTCATGCGGTAAGCTCAGACGCTGGTTTTTACTGTTTATTTGGTATTAATTGCAATTTAGATGCAATGTAAACAGCTGCTGAACATTAGTTTTAGAGTGTTTGAATTGTTGTTGTTCTTGTTTTTTTTTTTGAAGTAAATTCGTTTAAATTTCAAATGATTTGTAGAGTAAATTTAAAATGTAGGAGGATTTTGTATTGGTATTTACACACACGAATAAAAAACAAATAATGAAACATAAACAAAAAGGGCAATCATCGGAGAAGGATGCTGCATGGATTGATAGGGCAGCGTGTTGTGCTAAAATACATATTTATCTATCTCAATTCGCATACATACAAATGTTTTTGATGGAAGTTCTAATAGAAGCTTAAAGTTTAAAAAATTGGAAGGTTGGCAGGATAAGTAATTTTTAGGCCTTTAGAAATTTTAGTTTCGCAAATAATGGAGTAAACATTAGTAACATAGGTAGGATTTCAAAGGTTTGTTACCCAATGGTGGAAATGCTCAAAAGGAGTTTGAAATACGGATCTTCCTCCATACCAAATACAAAAAATAAGGAACCACCATAAAAAGTTAGCGTTCACCCTAGAGCACACATGCTCGAACAAGGACTGTACTTCACTGTGGCGCCCAAGAAATTTATTCAATTTTTAGTATATTGTAGAATTTTTTATATCCCTCTAGCACGAATTTTTTGAAAACCCAGCCTTACCTATTGCCTACGGACAAAGACTGACCCTCGTGCAAAATTAGAAGATTTTAGCTTCAGCCGTTTTACATGGGCGTTGATTCTCGATCAGTTAGTCAGATCTTTCATTACTATTTATATATATATATATATATATATATATATATATATATATATATATATATATATATATATATATATATATATATATATATATATATATATATATATATATATATATAATATAGATATAAATATATATATATATATATAATATATATATATATATATATATATATATATATATATATATATATATATATATATATATATATATAGATAGATATAAATATATATATATATATATATAAATGTATATATATATATATATATAATATATATATACATACATATATGGTTGGTTTTTAGCAGAAGATCTCTTCGGAGAAATATCTGCAGATTTTCTAGGAGAAATTATAGATCTTCAAGGAGAAGGCCTACAGATCTTCAACGAGAATATCTACAGACCTTCGTGGAGAAAATCTACAGATCTTCAGTGATAAGATTTACAGAAGAGCAAATCGGTGGATCATCTACATAAATAAAAGAGTGGTGAAAAAGAACTGACTTACTGATCGGGAATCAACGCCCATGTGAAACGGCTGAAGCTAAAATCTTGTAATTTTGCACGAGGGTCAGTCTTGATCCGTAGCCATTAGGAAGTCTGGGTTTTTAAAAATTTGTACTAAAGGGATACAGAAAATTCTAAAATATACCAAAAATTTAATACTTTGCTTGGAAGCCACAGTGTAGTCCACCCTTGTTCGAGCATATATATCACTAGGAGAAGATCTGTAGATCTTTTCAATAGCTGATCCATATAAGATCTTCTCACAGAAGCTCTGTACGTCTTCTCATAGAAGCTCTGTAGATGTTCTTTAGGAACTTCTATAGATCTTCTCTTGGATGTCTGTTTTCTTAGAGAGGATCCTGCTGCGACAATTTAGATCCTAATATAAGCTTAAAGTCATCTTCGTCATTCAATTCGTCGAGGCAGTACGGGACGTCCCCGCACTATAGAAATTTATGCAGAAGTTGACGCCACACATTGCTTTTGAAGTTCTGGATATCGCATGATTTCTCCAATTTAACTGCGATGATCTCGGAGGTAAATCAATAGCAAGTTTCATGAGTCCGAAGAACATCATGGTCGTGAAGTGTGGAAACGCCGAGGTAGGGGTGCATGTGCATCCATAAAATAGCTGTGCCCCGCGTTATATGCCCAACATTAATTCCCTTCTGGTAGGCAGTAACAACCTGGTATTGGAAGATTTCAATGCCCAGCATGAATAATTATATTCCGTCCTAGTTAACGAGCAGAGAAGCATAGTGCTGGCTGAGCAAATTGATAGCTCCACCTTTTGCACAGCGAATAAGGACGCACCCACACGAATAAGGGGAAACAGCCACAGCTTACCTGTTATATCAAACGTGTTCCCAAGTCTGACAAATTACGTTACCTGACAATCAGTCGTTTCTTGAGGTTCATATCACCAAGCCATTATCGTCGCTACCAACACACCACCTGACTTCATAGACGAACTTCGCACTTTCCTTAACCATGGGAAAACCAATTGTCGCTTTAGCGAACTGGCCAACCTATATGATGTTCAGCTGCAGTGGCTTGGTATATATCTGCTGGTCAAATTCCTGAAATAAGACCCGCAGAGGCAGGGGGGTTAGCAAATGAGAGAGATGAGCTTCGCCGTACTAACCCTAATAATCACAGAGTCAGGGAACTTACTCTGGATGTAAACAGGTTAGTTGGAGAGCATAAGCAGAAAACGTGGCTAGAAAATTTAAAGCATTGCAACATCAGTACCGGATCTAGTAAATTGTGGGCAACGGTTAAGTCGGTCTCGAACCCTGAAAAAAGAATGATCGGACATCTGTCTCATTTAACAGCATAGAAGTGACAGATCCGAAGAGGTGCGCGATTCTCCCAGCCGAGGAGGTACCACCACAATTAACGATGGAACATATTGCAAAGTCGTCCAAAGCGCTTGGTCCTGACGGAATCTCAATGGTGATGTTGAAGTAACTAGATAAACCATGAACTGAGTACGTTACTAAGCTCCATAAACTGCAGCTAGCCACCCTAATAGTTCCCAATGCCCGAGAAACGGGCAGGGTGGTCCCGCTATTGAAGTCAGGAAAGGACGCCAGCCAAAGTGATTCATACAAACAAATATCACTTTTGTCGGCAGAAGCAAAGACGCTTTAGGCATTACTCTTCCCCAGCACAATAAAGTGTTTCCAAGTAGCTGATCATCAGTACGGATACGGCAGAGGTAAAAGAGATGAACGTACTAGGATACCATCCCCCTCCCATCGCAGCTGAAGAGCCAGAGCTGCCCCGACAAACCCGAATTTGGTGAAGATTGAATATGATATAACTTCTATATATGAAAGCCGTAATATACTCCAGATATCCATGATATTTGATGCGAGACATCATGCAACCGCCAGAAGGGGCTTTGTAAATGTTATTAAAATGGATTCAGATTCATTATTCAATTTTTGGACCCACTCGACTTTGGACTTTTCCCTATTGCTTCTAATAAGTCGTAAGAACAATTTTTCTATAGCAAAACGTCTCAGGTCCGAAAAATGATCGATTTTTTTTCAGAATATAACGCTATGGTTTAATGAGGTTAATTCAGGTCTAGGTGACTGGAGATTTTTTAAAGGTAAAAAAGGAAATATGATAAAATTTGTAAGATTTCCCTGAAGTTTGTATCAGAAGCCCTTTTTAGAAAAATTTATACTCCCCTTATATTAATCCAATTGTTTTATAAAAATGACTAACTTCACATAATAAATTTGTTTTCCTCCATCAGCGCTGTATCTTTCCAAAAAAAAGAAGAAAAAATGGGTTAATGGAATTAAAAGGAATCACATGATTTATTCAAGCTTCCCATGGAACGAGAGCTATCGCCGCAAGATGCTAAAAGAGCCAACAACAGCCGAGATCATAAATTATTTATGTGGTCATACTTAAAAAACAATTATGTGTGTTTTGTTTCTTCGCCAGCCCGAAAAGGAGGTGCAAGGAGAAAGCCCAAAATATTGTTCCCACTCAAGATAAATTCGGCAAAAAGTCATTTTCGAAAAATAACAACAAAGTGAACATGAAACACTTACCTGTTGCTAAACCCGTATCATTTATGCTGGACGTTGATGTCGAGAAGCCTGGAAATTTACGCCATCCTTTGCGATTCCAAAAACTGCGAGCTTTCGATTCAACTACAACCACTGGGCCGGGATCTTCGGCCGCTCTTATTTTGGCACAATTTAAAATACGTCGACCACAGGCAGCACGCGTAAAAAACCCCGATGAATTTAGGGCGGCATCGTCGTCATCATCGTTGCCCAGAGCTGCGCTGGCTGTGTCGGGCAAATAGCCATGATGCTGACCATGTGGCAGTGTGTGTTTGCCGGCCAAATGCACCTGAGGCAAGTGTTTTATGGCCGATGAGTGTGAACGCGACGAGGCATTGGTGTCGATGCATGTATTGGCCCGCTGAAAGGACCGACAACTTTGTGTGGCATAGGCAAAGGCACTTTGTTGCTGGTGTAGAGACTTTTGTGTGGCACTACCGGGGCCAGGCGTTACCGTTTGTTGGGCAGTGCGTGAATTCATCAAGGCATTGGTTTTGTGAAGTCGCAGTGAACCAATGTAGCTGGCACCACTGCTGCCGCTAAAGCCACTGTCCAGATCAGCAGCTCCCACCATGCAGCCGGTTTGAAGAAGGCCTGCAGCTATTGTTGCGGAGCTGGAAAGTGGAACCACCGGCGGTGCTGTTGCAGCTACAAGAACAGGATCACAGATATTATCAGCCGATGATGAGGTGAGTCTTAGCGGTTGGCCCGATGCCGAGGTAACACTCACTGTGGGAGCTGTGGGTTGCGGTTCTTTGGGTCCACTGGTGGTGGCTATCGCATTGCTATTGCTACCGGTGGGACTGGTATTGGGTGGACTTTCCGGCATTAGCATGGCCTCAACCGATAGATTGAGCTCACCTAAAATTTTATGATGTCTATTTTGTACTCTTCTTAATTCCTCTTCCACCAGCTGTTGTGTCAACGAACCAGCCGAATGGGAAGTGGAACGTAATTGGCGATGGCTGGTCATGGAGTTCGAGGAGGATGAAGTGGAGGAGGCAGAGATTTCTTCATAGAAATTTTCCGGTGTTGAAATGTTGCTAGATCCTCCAATGGCTCCCGAGGCTGTGGCAGCACAGGCCGGTGTGACTGATCCAGCCGTAGTCGCCGCCGCCGTTGCTCCAGATTGAGCGGGAAATTGCTTTTGGTGTTGCTGGGTGAGACGGACTTGATATGATTGCCTTGTGGCGGGAGAGACCAGCAGTTTGTTCTTTTTGCCCTTGGACAGCAGGGCTCTGATGGAATTGGGTGGTGCTGGTGTTAGATCCTCATCGTCTGCAATGGCCTGGGAGCTGGGTATGTTTGTGTGACGCATAGCAGCTCCTGGCTCATAATAGGCATAAGAATAATCATGATGTTGCTGTTGTTGCTGCTGCTGTTGATGCTGCTGCAGTTGCAGCAGCTGCATGGATGTTGTCTGGGGTATATTCGACCACTGCTCCTCCATGCTATGGGTCTGATTGAGACGTCCCAAGGTTTTCGTATGACGCACCATGCCACCGGCTGCTGTGCCCTTAAAAGCGGTGACCAGAGGTGGCTCGGGTTCCGCACAAATTTCGATGGCATCTAAATCGGCTGGCATTGTTGATTGATACTGCTGATGAAGGTGTTGCTGTTGTTGCTGCTGTTGTTGTTGTAGCTGATGATGGTGGTGGTGATGCTGCTGTTGCTGGCCATGTCTGGTGTTAATTTTTCGACAACTTTTATTGGCCACCGCTGAACTGGTACTAATGACATTTGCGGTGGGACTTGTACTGGAGGGAAGGGTCGTGGTCACATCCACCTGTATTGTACTGGTGGGCGGTGGACCAAAGTCTTCGAATGGCGGGGATGAAGGGGTATTTTTGTATTTTGGCATTGTTCTAACTGTTGTTGCTGGTGCGGATGTTGGAGCTGCAACTGACGTTGCCTTTGAAATATTTGGCCTTACATTGTGACCATGTTGTATATGTTGGTGGTGGTGCTGCTGGTGCTGCTGTTCCAAATGATGATGTTGTTGTTGCTGCTGCTGCTGTTGATGATGCGGATGATGGTGATGTGGTGTTTGTGGTTGTTTTTGTTTCACATCCCCAGTAGCAATACCCCCTGCTCCGCCACTGACGCCACCACCACTTCCTACATTTGTGGACCCCGTCAATTGTTGGTGGTGTTGCTGCTGTTGTTGTTGCTGCTGTTGCTGCTGACTCCTTGCAATTAGTTGTTGTCTTTGTTGTTGTGGTTGCTGCTGCTGTTGTTGGGTCGTATAATAATTCTGATTTGTGACCGGCTGCTGCAATTTCTGCGCATGATGATGCTGATTGAATTGATGATGAAGTCCTGTGGATGATTGCTCCTTTTGTTGTTGTTGTTGTTGCTGTAATTTCAAATCTTTTTGCGATTTGTTTGAACGTTGATTTCTGCCTAAACCTAAACAAGCCTCCATGGTACATTGTTATTGTTTTTTGGCTGATTTATCCTTTAATGGCAAAGTCAAATTGTCGATGTCGATGTGGATGTCGATATCCTGTCCTGGCGGAATGGCGGATGACAGGATGTTGAATTTAACCAATTTGGATTCAGTTTGATTGGCATTTACAAAACGGCAACCAAGATAATATGATGGCAGAGGAGTTTTGTTCGTGTTGTTGTTGCTGTTCGGTAATGGTCTTTCTTTTATAGCCACGAATTGGGTCGACTTAGTCGTTTGCCTGTAATTGAAAGATTATAAATGACAAATTAATGAAGACGTCTGTGAATGGATAATTTATGTAGCTTTTTGCAGATCCAGTGATATTTTATTAATGAACTCTAATTGGATTTTAGTAGGGAATATAGGGATTAATGGACAGTTAATTGCAGTAAGAAAGTTAAGGATAAAGGCCTTAACTCGTCATTTCTAAATGGGTGAGAGTATATTATTCATTGTTGCTGTTCGATATATATATAACTGTCAATTTTCGTGTATATGTCGAGCATTTTTGGTTAGGCTTTCATTGAAATAGCAGTGTCGTTATGGACATTATCTCGTTTTAAAAAGTCTTCCCTCTCCACAGGACTATCTGGAGGGCATATGATTACCGAGTAACTGACTAATGGCTTGTCACCTCCTCCTCTATAAATGGGGAGAGTAGATTACCCATTGTTGTTAACACAATTGACATTATTCGAGAACTAGAAGAGGTCGCTAAAAGTACCAAAACTTGAACTAAATGTTACTTAAAACATTAAAAGGTATCTGCAGCTAGAATTTAGAAATTTGACATTTTGCTCTTGGTAGAAACGTAGGGGTGAGATATGGCTATATTTTAGATTCTGCAATTTTAATGGATACTAAAGTATCCTTTATAATCTTTAGTGTTCAGCAAAATTCGAGCTTGTTTTTCTTTTTTGTAAAATAACTGACTTACTGAGAATCAACGCCGAGACGAAACGGCTGAAGCTAAAATCTTGCAATTTTGCACAAGCGTCAGTATCGGTGTATTGTCGTGTGATAAAGCTGGGTTTTTGTAAATTCATACTAAAAGGGTACGAAATGTACAAAAATGTACTTTGTATTGGACAAACGGAGTGAGCTAGAACTCTGAAAATTGGAATGAAAGTCACTGATGGAGAGAGAGTCACAGGGTTGCCCATATTCGACGGACCCATCTGGCAACGCCATAACTTTTAACAGAGATGTCACATCGCTTAATGACATACCGCGTTTGAAGCGTCAGTCCAAGCAGATTTTTACCATGAACCAATACACGCCACGCGAAATAGTTGAAATTTACATTCAACAGAAGAAGTCAATTGTGAAAACTCAACGTGCTTTTAAAACATTAAAAAATGTGAGAAGTGCGCCTTCTAAGAACACCATTTTCGACTGGTAAGACTCTTTAAAAGTCGACCTAGGCGATCGGCCGAGAATATCACTGCCGGACGAGCCAATGTTGAGAGGTCCCCAAGAACATCCCAAAAACGCCGTTCTCAGCAGTTGGGCATGGCTCGGTCCACTTTACAACGGATTATTCGCATTGATTTGCATTTGTTCCCGTACAAAATTCCATTGACGCAAAGAATGTTGCCTGCGTACAAGCCTCGTCGATTGGAATGGACCCAAAGAGTCATCGAAATGGCCGAAGATGACGAGCAATTTTGGAACAAAATTATCATGTCCGATGAAGCCCATTTCACATTGAATGGGACCGTAAATAAGGAAAATTGCCGTTTTTACGCCACTGAAAATCCTCAGGAGATTCAAGAAGTGCCTCTTCATGACGAAAAAGTCACAGTTTGGTGCGGCGTTAGTGCGAAAACGATCATGCTGTTACCATCGAAAGCGTATGAGGCAGTTCCACCGCACACAAGTCGCATAACAATCGATTTTCTAAAGAATTTGTTTCCGGGCCGTTTGATGTCGAAAAGTGGTGATTTGGACTGGCCACCGTGTTCGCCCGATTTGACGCCGACTAACTTCTTCTTGTGGGGATATTTGAAGTCAAAGGTTTACGTTAACAAGCCAAGGACCGTAGAATAGCTCAAGGACAACATTCGTGAAGAAATAGACGCTATTCCGGCCGAAATGTTGGCAAAAACGGTGGAAAATGCAGCAAAAAGGGCACAATACGTCATCAACGCCAGAGGCGGCCATTTCAGAGATGTCATATTCAAAAATTGATGTAAACAAATCTATTTGGAACAAATTAAATGATTAACATTGCCAACCGCCAAATTTTTATTTTTTTCTTTGATTTTAAAAAAAAAAATATGGTCAACCCTGTATATTTGGTATTGAGTCACAGGATAGGTCTGGGTTCTTATTAAGTTTGGTATTGAGCGAAAATATAGAGCTGAAATCCTGAAATATGCTATGTATGTCACTGTCAGTGTCTATGGTTAAGATATGTAGGGAGTTTTGGAAATGTGTACTATAATCGTTCGAAAAGTACTAAATGGTGCTAAACTTGGTATTGGGTGAAAGGATAGGGCTGGAATACTCAAATTTGATATTGGTGTCTCTGTTGGCATACTGTTCGGCAATTGTACTAATAAGTACTAAATTTGGTATTGGTTGAAGGGATAGAATTTTCCTGAATTTTGCTATAGATGTCACTGTTAGTGTCAGTGGTTGATAGGAGATATGGCGGTGGTTGTGCAACTATGTACTATAATTGTACGAGAAGTACTAAATAGTTCTAAATTTGATATTGGGAATCCTCAAATCTGATATTGTGGTCTCTGTTGTTATCTAGAATTGAGATATGGAGGCTGTTTTGGAAATTAGCACTTTTCGAACAATTTTAGTACATGTTGTTCGAAATGTACTAAGTGGCACTAAATTGGGTATTGGGTAAACGAATAGGGCTGGAAATTTGACATTAGGGTTTCTACTGGTCTCTGTGGTTGTACAGATTTTAGATATGCGTACTATAATTGTACTAAATTTGGTAAGAAGGGAAATTACGGAGCTTAAATCATGAAATTGGATATTAAGTTCACTGTTCGTATATGAGTTTGAGAAGAAAGACCTGAAATCCTAAAATTTGATATGAATGTCACTGCTGGTGTCTGTAGTTGAGAGATGGAGATGGTTTGGAAATGCCTACTATGAAAGCAAAATAGAGATGGAATTCTGACATTTTCTACGGTGGTCACTGTTGGTTTATAGGGTTATCATATGGAGACGTTGAAAATGTTTTGGACACAAAAAATTGTATGTGGATCTATTGTGCAATGGTTTTACTAACATCCTCCTCCGTAAAATTCAAAATGAAAGATGATGAAGACTGTTTGGTGTAAGGGATAAACAATTTCCTATTATTCTTTCCGTAAAAGGAAAAAAAATGAATAATGTGCAATAAGTAAGTCTGAAAATTTAATACGATTTTTAAAGTTTTTTTTTTGTGGGTAAAGCCAGAATTTTAGCATTTGGAATTTTAAAATATTTATAACTTCGAAATCCTGTAAACCTTGGAAAAAACCGAATTAGCCCCTTTCAATTACAGACAGCAACAGTGATATGCATTGCGGGATTCCAGCTCTATACTTTCGCCCAACACCCAAATTTGTACCTTTCGACCAATTAGAGTAGACATTTCCAAAACCACCTACATATCTCAATTCCAGACACCAACAGTGTCTTAAATATTCACTTTTAGGATTTCAGCACTGTTGTTTTACTATTAGTAGTTTTTTTGTACAATTATCTTACACACATCCAAAAACCACCTCCTTATCTCAAACACAGACACCAACAGTTACATACACATCAAATTTCAATTAATTAAGTACTTCTCCTATAATTATAGTACACATTTCCAAAACCACACCCATATCTCAATTGCAGATACTAACAGAAAACTCAATATCACATTTCGTGATTCCGGCTATATCCCTTCACCCAATACCAAATTATTACCATTTAGTAATTTTCGTACAAATATAGTATACCCTACCATCAACAGAGATCGCAATATAACATTTAACAATTCCAGCTTCATTCCTTCACCATAAACCAAACTGTGCTGAATTTTGTACCACCCAGGATTTTTCGTACAGCTATAATACACATTTCTAAACTAGGAATTTTGCAATAAAGTCTGTATTCATGCTACAAATGTTGCTATATAGTATGTCCCTCTGACAGGCTGATGCTCCTGAAATCTTTCGATCATCAATAATTAGACATTCCCAATCTATACCAACACTAGTGTTTTCGATTGACAAAGAAACGTCAAAATCCTCGAATTCAAGGTTTTGAACTACAAGTAAACTATATACTGAATTCTCCGAAGCCAATTCGTCAACATATATATTTTATAAGGATAACCTAAACCTGAGTAAATTTAGAAGTGTTGATTTCTCCCTGGCTAGGTGAAATTCTGCTTAAATTGAAATTTTTCAAATAAACAAGCCAGATTTCAAACGTTCCTAGAAAAGTAGTTTAAATTTATTGTTGACTTTAACTCGTTACTGTGTGCATCATTTGATTTCAATTCCCCTCTCATTCATTCAATGCGGAAAATAAACTTTTTTAGCACCAGCAGCGATGTGAGGTCAACCCAACCACACACATGTTTGCTCTGCAATTTGTTGCAAACCATTCGACGAGGGCAAAATAAATAATGATAACAAGTAAAAAAGCTGTAAGTTCGGCCGGGCCGAACTTTTAATACCCTCCACCATTTGGTACAAATTTGACAAAAAAAAAAAAAAAATAAATAAATAAATAAATAAAATCCGTTAAAAATTCTGTTAAAATCTTAAAAATACCGAATGCCTATACGACGACGTGGACCTGCATAGGCCACTTTTGTCATAAGTTATTACAATATTAAAATGGGAAACTTGAAGAAAAATCTGTTTATAATGTAGCTAAAATCATCAAAACACCGAATATAGGGGGTACCGTTATATGGGGGCTATACGAAGAGGTGGACCTGCACAGACAATTTTCTGACATGTGCTGAAGTATCCATTACGAACTTCACATGCGAAATTTGAAACAGTCCCGGTAAATAATGTCGCTAAAATCATCAAAATACCGAATATGGGGGGGTACGGTATATGGGGGCTATACGAAGACGTGGACCTACATGGCCCATTTTCTGTTTTATGCTGCAGTATCTATTACGAACTTCAAATACCAAATTTGAAACGATTCCGTTAAATAATGTCGCTAAAATCATCAAAAATACCGAATATC